CACTTAGACTTGGCCAATTTATTTTGTTTTTTAATATATTTTATTGATTTTTTACAGAGAGGAAGGGAGAGGGATAGAGAGTTAGAAACATCGATGAGAGAGAAACATCGATCAGCTGCCTCCTGCACGCCCCCCACTGGGGATGTGCCCGCACCCCAGGTCCATGCCCTTGGCCGGAATCGAACCGGGGACCCTTCCGCAGGCCGACGCTCTGTCCACTGAGCCACACCGGTCAGGGCGTACTTGGCCAATTTAAAAAAATCTGGTTGTTAGGCACTGGGGCTTATGAAAACGTTTTCAGGACCAAACCTTTGTGTGGTGTATTTTCCCCAAGTGACTCTCCTCCGTTCCGTGGCTTGTTGCCTCTCCCTTCCCAGCCCGCTTTTTAAAGTTTAATTTTCCAGTGACAGTTGACATTCAATGTGTTAGTTCAAGGTGTACAGCGTAGTGGTTAGCCGTGTATATAATTCATGCAGCGATCCCCCTAGTGGTTACAATACTATTATTATGTTAATAATAAAGTGTTATGCACTTAATTTTTATTATCATTATTATTTTTAATCCTCATCTGAAGCTAGCTTTTACTGATTTTAGAGAGAGGGGAAGGGAGGGATGAAGGGAGGTAGTAAAGGAGGGAGGGAGGAAGGGGAGAGAGAGAGAGGTGGGTTGCCTGCTCTTAGACCACAGGGATGGAACTCGAAACCTAGGGATGTGCCCTGGTCAGGAATTGAACCCCAAACCTTTTGGTGTATGGGATGATGTTCCTGCCAACTGAGCCACCTGGTCAGGACTTAAAGTAATTATTGATAGGTATGTGGTGACTGACATTTCATTATATTTTTTTCTTCTTTTTCTTAAAGAAGTCCCTTTAACATTTCTTGTAACACCGGTTTGTTGGTGATGAGCGCCTGTATCTTGGTCTTGCCTGGGACCAACTTTTTGCTTATTTACTTATGTATTTATTTATTAATTAAATATATTTTTTATTGATTTCAGAGAGGAAGGGAGAGGGAGAGAGAAACATCCATGTTGAGAATCACTGATGGGCTGCCTCCTGCATGCCCCCTACTGGGAACAAAGCCCGCACCACAGGCATATGCCCTGACCGGGTTCATATGGCTGGTTTGGCTCAGTGGATAGAGTGTTGGCCTGTGGACTGAAGAGTCCCGGGTTCGATTCCGATCAAGGGCACATGCCTGTGTTGTGGGCTTGATCCCCTGTAGGGAGCGTGCAAGAGGCAGCCGATCAATGATTCTCTCTCATCATTGATGTTTCTATCTCTCTTTCCCTCTCCCTTCCTCTCTGAAACATATATATATATGTGTGTGTGTATATATATATATATATATGAAAAGTTGCAGGAACAGTTCAATGAACACTTGTAAAACCATCCAGATTTTCAAGTTAATACTTTGCTACATAAGCTTTACCTTTTTTTCTCCCTGCCTCAAACACACACACACACACACACACACACTCTATGTATTTTACACACATACGCACTATATTTTACACACACACACACTATATATTTTACATACACACACTCTATGTATTTTACACACACGCACTATATTTTACACACGTACACACACTCTATTTTGCACACATACACTATATTTTACACGCACGCTATATATTTTACACACGTACACTCTATTTTGCACACATACACTATATTTTACACACACACTATATATTTTACACACGTACACTCTATTTTGCACACATACAGTATATTTTACACACACTATATATTTTACACACGTACACACACTATTTTGCACACACACTATATATTTTACACACACTATATATTTTACACACGTACACTCTATTTTGCACACATACACTATATTTTACACACACACTATATATTTTACACACGTACACACACTCTATTTTGCACACATACACTATATTTTACACACACGCTATATATTTTACACACGTACACTCTATTTTGCACACATACACTATATTTTTAACACACGCTATATATTTTACACACGTACACACACTCTATTTTGCACACATACACTATATTTTACACACACGCTATATATTTTACACACGTACACTCTATTTTGCACACATACACTATATTTTACACACACACTATATATTTTACACACGTACACACTATTTTGCACACACACTATATATTTTACACACACGCTATATATTTTACACACGTACACTCTATTTTGCACACACACTATATTTTACACGCACGCTATATATTTTACACACGCACACTCTATTTTGCACACACACTATATTTTACACACACGCTATATATTTTACACACGTACACTCTATTTTGCACACATACACTATATTTTACACACACGCTATATATTTTACACACGTACACACACTCTATTTTGCACACATACACTATATTTTACACACACGCTATATATTTTACACACGTACACACACTCTATTTTGCACACATACACTATATTTTACACACACGCTATATATTTTACACACGTACACACACTATTTTGCACACATACACTATATTTTACACACACGCTATATATTTTACACACGTACACACACTCTATTTTGCACACATACACTATATTTTACACACACGCTATATATTTTACACACGTACACACACTCTATTTTGCACACATACACTATATTTTACACACACACTATATATTTTACACACGTACACACACTCTATTTTGCACACATACACTATATTTTACACACACGCTATATATTTTACACACGTACACACACTATTTTGCACACATACACTATATTTTACACACACGCTATATATTTTACACACGTACACACACTCTATTTTGCACACATACACTATATTTTACACACACGCTATATATTTTACACACGTACACACACTCTATTTTGCACACATACACTATATTTTACACACACGCTATATATTTTACACACGTACACACACTCTATTTTGCACACATACACTATATTTTACACACACGCTATATATTTTACACACGTACACACACTCTATTTTGCACACATACACTATATTTTACACACACGCTATATATTTTACACACGTACACACACTCTATTTTGCACACATACACTATATTTTACACACACGCTATATATTTTACACACGTACACACACTCTATTTTGCACACACACTATATTTTACACGCACGCTATATATTTTACACACGCACACTCTATTTTGCACACATACACTATATTTTACACACACGCTATATATTTTACACACACGCTATATATTTTACACACGTACACTCTATTTTGCACACACACACTATATTTTACACGCACGCTATATATTTTACACACGCACACTCTATTTTGCACACATACACTATATTTTACACGCACGCTATATATTTTACACACGCACGCTATATATTTTACACACGCACACTCTATTTTGCACACACGCTATATATTTTACACACGTACACACACTCTATTTTGCACACATACACTATATTTTACACACACGCTATATATTTTACACACGTACACACACTCTATTTTGCACACATACACTATATTTTACACACACGCTATATATTTTACACACGTACACACACTCTATTTTGCACACATACACTATATTTTACACACACGCTATATATTTTACACACGTACACACACTCTATTTTGCACACATACACTATATTTTACACACACGCTATATATTTTACACACGTACACACTCTATTTTGCACACATACACTATATTTTACACACACGCTATATATTTTACACACGTACACTCTATTTTGCACACATACACTCTATTTTTCACACACGCTATATATTTTACACACGTACACTCTATTTTGCACACATACACTCTATTTTTCACACATACACTATATTTTACACACACGCTATATATTTTACACACGTACACACACTCTATTTTGCACACATACACTATATTTTACACACACGCTATATATTTTACACACGTACACTCTATTTTGCACACATACACTATATTTTACACACACACTATATATTTTACACACGTACACACACTATTTTGCACACACTATATATTTTACACACACACTATATATTTTACACACGTACACTCTATTTTGCACACACACACTATATTTTACACGCACGCTATATATTTTACACACGCACACTCTATTTTGCACACATACACTATATTTTACACACACACTATATATTTTACACACGTACACACACTCTATTTTGCACACGTACACTATATTTTACACACACGCTATATATTTTACACACGCACACACACTCTATTTTGCACACGTACACTATATTTTACACACACGCTATATATTTTACACACGCACACACACTCTATTTTGCACACGTACACTATATTTTACACACACGCTATATATTTTACACACGCACACACACTCTATTTTGCACACGTACACTCTATTTTGCACACACACTATATATTTTACACACACACTATATATTTTACACACGTACACTCTATTTTGCACACACACACTATATTTTACACGCACACTATATATTTTACACACGTACACACACTCTATTTTGCACACATACACTATATTTTACACACACGCTATATATTTTACACACGCACACACACTCTATTTTGCACACGTACACTCTATTTTGCACACACACTATATTTTACACACACACTATATATTTTACACACGTACACTCTATTTTGCACACATACACTATATTTTACACACACGCTATATATTTTACACACGTACACACACTCTATTTTGCACACATACACTCTATTTTACACACACGCTATATATTTTACACACGTACACTCTATTTTGCACACATACACTCTATTTTTCACACACACTATATATTTTACACACGTACACTCTATTTTGCACACATACACTATATTTTACACACACGCTATATATTTTACACGCGTACACTCTATTTTGCACACACACACTATATTTTACACGCACGCTATATATTTTACACACGTACACACACTAAGAGGATAAAGGGTTGATTACTCACATAGTGAGGCTGTCTTGGGAGAGCAGGGTAGTGCTCTCAGATAATCCAAAGTAGCCTCAGCGAGCAGGAACAGGAGACGGACTGGTTGGGCTGTTCTTGTGAGTGGGGAGTGGAGCTGGGATGAGGGTGGCCCCACCTTGCTTGGGGCTTGCGTGGTTAGAACTTCCTGCCAACTCCAAGGGGATCGATAGCATCGGGCTTTTCTGTAAGCCTCCTTAGATGTCGGGTGGAAGGAGGTGACGGGGAGGGAATGGTGCTGGAAAGCTGGCAGCAGTCAGTCATCGAAAACGGAGTCAGACTTTATCACAGTGGGTGGTCAGGTGGGTGACTTTGTGAGGACAGGGCTAAAGTTGGTGGCAACGGTTTATTTTTGTTAAAGAATACATCATTTGAACAAGCAAACATGATCGTGTTTGGTCCACAGAGATGGCAGGAGCCATGCGATGGGCTTGTACAGCTGAGGTCTGGCAGCCGTTGACGTCAAACATGCAGGCACTGGCCTCAGCGGATTTCTCTGCAGCGTCGTAGAGACGGGATAAGGCCCTTCAGAGGTGAGTGCCTGGGGAAGGAATTCTACACCATCTTGGCTCATCCTATAAAACTGTTACTTCATGAAGTCTTAACGCACCAGAATCGGGCCATGTGGGGTCTAGACCAGTGGTTATGACCCTGACAGACTCAACACCTGCTTTTTTTTTTTTTTTTTTTTTGCTACTTTTAAAAAAAAATGCAGATTTATTGAGAGATAATCCACAAACCGTTACCATTCACCATCTTAAGGTATAAAATTCAGTGGTTTCCACCATTGCCAATAACAATTGTAGAATATTTTTATCATCCCCCAAATGAAAGCTTGTGCCCCGTAGCAGCCACTCCCCCTCTCCTCGATCCCTTTCAGCCCATGGCAGTCATGCATCGACTCTCTGTCTCTCTGTTTGTGAGTTCTAGACATTCCATAAAAATGGAAGCACAGTGTGCGGTCTTTTGTGTTGGCCCCTGTTGCTTAGCATAATATTCTCAAGGTTCATCCGCCTTTGTAGTGCGTATTGGTGCTTAGTTCATTTTTATGGGTGAGTAATGTTGTGTGGATATACCATATGGTGTGTATCCGTCCGTTCATCAGCTGGTGGACGTTTGAGTGGCTTCCGCTTTCCTGGATATTAATGTATAATGTTCTGTGGACATTCATGGACAAGGGTGTTTGTGTGTGTGGTGTGGACATGTGTTCATTTCTCTTGGACAAGCTGGGAGTGGAACTGATCATAGAGATGGAGTGGGAGTGAAGTAGTATCTCACTGTGGTTTCAGTTTGCATTTTCATACTGGTTAATGGTGTTGAGCATCTTTTCCAATACACAATTATGTTTATTGGCAGTTTGTATATCTTCTTTGGAGAACTGTTTGTTCAGATCCTTTGCCCATTTATTAAATGGGTTCTTGATCTTTTTGGGTTTTTTTTTTTTAAGAATCTTTTAAAAAATATGTGTTTTTTATGGATTTCAGAGGGAGAGAGAGAAAGAAACACTGATCGGCTGCCTCCTGCGTATCCCCTAATGGGGATTGAGCTCGCAACCCACCTGGGCATGTGCCCTGACGGGGAATCAAACCAACAATTCCCTGATGTTCAACCAGCTGAGCCACCCTGGGTAGGCAGGTTATTGGTCTTTTTATTATTGAGTTGGAAGAGTTATTTACTTACTCTGGATACCACTGCTTTATCAGGTATATGATCGCCAAGTATTTTATCCTATTCTGTGGGTGTCTTTTCACTTTCTTAGTGATGCTATTTGAAGCACAAAAGGTTTTAATTACCTACTTTTTTTTTTTTTGTCACTTGTGCTTCTGATGTAAACAAATTTCTGAAGATTGACAACTGTTCTTCTTTTAGGAGTTTTAGTTTTAGATCTTAAATTTAGGCCTGCCATCCACTTTGAGTTAACTTTTGTGTAATGCTCACTTTTTATGATCAAGTTTGTCGTGTGCCTTTTACCATCCTGAAAGGAATTTTATAGATAACATTACATATCCACATAATTAAAAAAATTCTCAAGTCATATGTGCAGGTAAAGAGTCAATGAAAGGAAAGTATTAAAATATTTGTTTCTACATTTAAGGACTTGGGCGCAGCTACCCTAGAAGACGTAGGAAGCAGTCCCGTGTTGGAGACTGTAGGTTTGGATTAAGAGAAACAGGACTGCCAGGAATCATTGTCTTCAGTGCAGTTGAGTGCGGCGAGCTATGGGCGGGTGCTGCTGGAACACTGAGGATCGGGGAAGTGGATCCAGACCGGGTGTGTGAAACAGGAAAGGAAGGAAGGCAGCACCTTGGTGGGGGCAGGCTCTAAGCGCTTACACTAGAGGGCACCCCAGGCATCCAGGTGAACGGGGTCTTATCCACAGGCGAGTAACCCCGTGTCATGACCTGGAACGGCATCAGGACAAGTTATCACAGAAGGTTCTCCAGACCTGAGGTCTCAGCATGTGCTGAGGCAACGTTCAGTGTGTGAAGAGCCGCGGATGGCCATGGGGAGAGAAGGACAGACTGGGCTCAGAGCAGTGGGTGGCGGCTCTCTGAGGACAGGGCCCGAGGATGGGGGAACATGGGGGTGCTCGCTGCCCGGGCTGGTATGGCTCAGTGGGACATCATCCCGTGAACCGGAAGGTTGCTGGTCAGGGCATACGCCAAGGTGGTGGCTGCCTCCTGCACGTCCCCTGCTGGGGATCGAGCCTGAAACCAGGGCCTGTATCCCGACCGGGAGTTGAACTGGTGACCTTTCAGTGCACTGGAGGACACTCAACCAACGGAGCCATGCTGGCCAGTCCTGTGGCAGCATTTTATCTGGTCTGCGCTGGGTTTATTTAAATACACCTTTATCATTTCCTTTTCTTTCCTTTTATTTTTTCTTTTTTGTGCAGGGGGGTGGTGGTGGTGGTATGTTTTCTTGAAGAACAACTTCTCTATTATTTTTTAAAATTCTATGTATTGATTTTAGAGAGTGAGAGAGGAAGGGAAAGAGAGAGAAACAACGATTTGCTGTTTCATTATTGATGTATTCATCGGATGAGTCCATCGCCTTGGCATATTGGGACAACGCTCTAACCAACTGAGCCACCCAGCGAGGACTTCTCTTTTGCACAATGACATATTTGATAGTTTTTCCCTCCGCACTCTGAAAGTAACCTGCCATTACCTGCAGGTTTCTAGTTTGCTATGGAGGGGTCTTTCACGATACTTTTCTTTTTAAAAAAAAAAACAAACAAAAAAAACTTTAATGTATTTTTATTCTGTTATATGTGGAACTTTGTCAACTCTTTTTAAAAATATATATATTTTATGCCGAAACCGGTTTGGTTCAGTGGATAGAGCGTTGGCCTGCGGACTGAAAGGTCCCAGGTTCGATTCCGGTCAGGGGCATGTACCTGGGTTGCGGGCACATCTCCAATGGGAAATGTGCAGGAGGCAGCTGATCGATGTTTCTCTCTCATCAATGTTTCTGACTCTCTATCTCTCTCCCTTCCTCTCTGTGAAAAATCAATAAAATATATTTTAAAAAAAATAAAAATATATATATTTTATTGATTTTTTACAGGGAAGAAGGGAGAGGGATAGAGAGTTAGAAACATTGATGAGAGAGAGACATCAATCAGCTGCCTCCTGCACACCCCCCACTGGGGATGTGCCCACAACCAAGGTACATGCCCTTGTCCGGAATCGAACCTGGGACCCTTCAGTCTGCAGGCTGACACTCTACCCACTGAGCCATACCGATGAGGGCAATCACAATACTTTTCATTTCTTTACCAGTGGTGAGTCTTCTCCCTGCTGGTCTTTACGACTGTCACCTTCCCCTGTCGTTGTGGCTCAGTTGGTTGAACATCTATGCACCAAAAGGTCCCTGGTTCGATTCCCGGTCAGGGCACATGCCCAGGTTGTGTTTGATCCCCAGTGGTGGGCATGCAGGAGGCAGGCAATCGATGTTTCTCTTTCACATTGAAGTTTTTCTCTCTCTTTCTCCTTCTGTCCCTCTCCCTTCCAATCTCTAAAATCATTAAAAAAAATTTTTATTTTTTAAAAATAAAAACATTTTTAAAAATTTAAAATGTGTCTCCTTGGTATCGAGTAATGTGGACTTATGCTCGGGACTCATGCTTTCTGAGCCTGAGATGGCTGTAGGTGGATTCACTGGGTGAGAAATGTGCCCATTTTATGTTTCAGCTGCTGCTAACAGATCACCGACTGGTTGTCCACTTCCAATGCCCACCAACCCTTTATGACCTGCCCAAGCTTTATGTTTTCATACCTTGTTTTACTTTTTTACTTTTCAATTTATGTATTGATTTTAGAGGGAGGAAGAGAGAAAGAAACATTGAGTTGTTGCTCTAGTTGTTTATGCATTCATTGTTTGATTCTTGTATGTGCCCTGACCGTGGATCAGACCCACAACCTTGGCATATGGGGACTACACTCTAACCAACTGAGCCACCCAGTCAGATCCCTTGTTTTACTTTTACTAGTATGAAGTGTGCATATTTTGTGTTATTTTTTGTTGTTGTTAATCCTTACCAAGGATATTTTTTCTTTTTTTAAAAAAAATATATATTTTATTGATTTTTTACAGAGAGGAAGGGAGAGGGAGAGTTAGAAACATCAATCAGCTGCCTCCTGCACACTCCCTACTGAGTATGTGCCCGCAACCAAGGTACATGCCCTTGACCGGAATCGAACCTGGGACCCTTGAGTCCGCAGGCTGACGCTCTATCCACTGAGCCAAACTGGTTAGGGCAAGGATATTTTTTCCATTGGTTTTTAGAGAGAGTTGAAGGGAGGGGAGAAGGGGAAGAGAGAGAGAGAGAGAGAGAGATGGATGTGAGAAAGATACATCGATTGGTCGCCTCCCCTGCATATAACCTGACCTGGGACCAGGGATCAAGCCTGCAGTCCAGGTACATGCGCTTGACCCAGAATCGATGCATGGGCCAGTGCTCTAACCACTGAACCACCGGTTGTGCTGTATTTTGTGTTCTTGTAGTTGCACTTTGATCTTGGGCAGTGTGGTTTAGAGATTGGAACATCATCCATGCACTTAAGGGCCATGGTTTGATTCCCAGTCAGGACACATATGAGAGGCCACTGATTGATGGCTCTCTGTCACATCAATATTCCTCTCTCTCTCTCTCTCCCACTCCTTTCCTCTCTCTCTCTCTAAAATCCATAAAAACATATCCTCCAGTGAGGATTAAAAAGAAGTTGCAGTAGCCCTAGCTGGCTTGGCTCAGTGGATAGAGCGTCGACCTGCGAACTGAAGAGTTCTGGGTTCGATTTTGGTCAAGGGCACATGCCCGGGTTGCAGGCTCGAACCCCAGTGCGGGGCATGCAGGAGGCAACTGGTCGATGATTCTCTCTCATCATGGATGTTTCTATCTCCTCCTTTCCTCTCTGAAATCAATAAAAATATATTTTAAAAAATAAAAGTAAAATAACACTTTCCTGGTGTTTTCCCTTTAAAAAGCAAATTAAAAAAACCTCTCTGTAGCTCTCTCTGACCCTGTTCTCCTCCTCCTCCCCTGATTCTCAATTTATCTCCCCCGGTACAGATATGAATTTGAGAAAGAAAACAATAAAAGAGCACACCCCTATTCCTGCCTGCCACCATTTTTATTATTCTTGAAGACATAGCTCCATGTCTTGAACCCCGTCTTTTTCCTTCTTCACTTTTCAGCCTGCGACACGAGCCTGAAAATGACAGCTCAGAGTATTCCTGAGGAAGCACTGCCGTGTGACGTGGAAATGGAAGGATTCACAAGAAAGGACCCCCGTTTCACCATCCCAGGTGACAGGTGGGACTCTAAGAACTGGGAGGGACACCTGAGACAATTAGCTTCAACTAGGGAAAAGCCTGGGGCTCAGGAAGCAATTGGTGAGTATCCTGGACTTGGGAGGCCTTTGAGTGCCAGCCCTGACCTTCCAACATCTCGGAGGATTCCTGCAACAAATGGTTTCCGTGTACATGACTCAGAGGGTATACGTGTGGATTGTGACCCAGCTTTACATGGTTCTCAAAGAAGTTGTGTAGCTACAAGAACTGGTGACAGTGTTGCCTGTGAGAAAGCCTTCTGCCATTCCATGGAAGTGATTCAACAACTGGGAAGAAATCCAATGAGAGAGAACCTCTATAAATACCCTGAAAGTGTTGAGTCTTTCAGCCATTTTACCCCTCTTGGTGAACAAAAGATAACAAAAAGAGGGAAGAAGCTATATGAAGGCAAGGACTTTGGGGACATCTTTACCTTGACTTCATCTCTTAATGAAAGCAGGAGAAGTCACCCTGGGGAGAAGCTGTATAAATGTATGGAATGTGGCAAGTGCTTCAAACGGAACTCTTCTCTCATTTTGCATCACCGTACTCACACTGGAGAGAAACCTTATACATGCAACGAGTGTGGAAAATCCTTCTCCAAGAACTATAATTTGATTGTGCATCAAAGAATCCACACAGGAGAGAAGCCCTACAAATGCAGTAAGTGTGGGAAAGCCTTCAGCGATGGGTCAGCTCTGACACAACACCAGAGAATTCACACCGGGGAGAAACCTTACCAATGCCTAGAATGTGGAAAAACCTTCAACCGAAACTCATCCCTGATTTTGCATCAAAGAACTCATACGGGGGAAAAGCCATACCGATGTAACGAGTGCGGGAAGCCTTTCACAGACATCTCCCACCTCACCGTGCATCTCAGGATCCACACTGGGGAGAAGCCCTATGAATGTAGCAAGTGTGGCAAGGCTTTCCGGGATGGCTCGTACCTCACTCAGCACGAGAGGACTCACACCGGAGAGAAGCCCTTTGAATGTGTAGAGTGTGGAAAGTCCTTCAACCGTAACTCTCACCTCATCGTGCATCAGAAAATCCATTCTGGGGAGAAGCCCTACGAGTGTAAAGAGTGTGGGAAGACGTTCATCGAGAGTGCTTACCTCATCAGGCACCAGAGAATTCACACTGGTGAGAAGCCCTATGGCTGTGACCAGTGTCAGAAGCTTTTCAGGAACATTGCTGGCCTCATCCGGCACCAGAGGACTCATACTGGGGAGAAGCCCTACGAGTGTAGTCGGTGTGGCAAAGCCTTCAGGGACAGCTCCTGCCTGACCAAGCACCAGAGAATTCACACCAAGGAGACCCCGTACCAATGTCCAGAGTGTGGGAAGTCCTTCAAACAGAACTCTCACCTTGCAGTACATCAGAGACTCCACAGCAGAGAGGGTCCCAGCCAGTGTCCCCAGTGTGGGAAAATGTTCAGAAGGAGCTCAGCCCTGGTCCAACATCAGAGGACACACCCTGGAGAGCAGCCCATGGAAGCATAATGGATGTGGGCACACTCATTTCCTGAGTGCCCTCGAAAACCTGTGTGAGCGAGGGGTGTCTTCAAGGGTGACTCCTCCCAGTCAGTGCAAAATAATTTTTTTTTAATTTGAGTGATGAAGTCTTTGTGTGTGTGTGTGTGTGTGTGTGTTTTTAATTTATTGATTTTTTTTGAGAGAGAGACACTGATTTGTTGTTCCCCTTAGGCATTCATTGCTTGATTCTTGTTATGTGCCCCAAACAGGAATTGAACCCGCAACCTTGGTGTATTGGGATGACGCTCTAACCAACTGAACTACCTGGCCAGGCCCAAGAATTTGTTTATTTATTTTTTTTAAGGAATAAGTCAGTCACCTGCAATGACCCCCCTCTGGGATAATCATCATTAGTATTCTGGTGGCCTTCCTTTCCCCCATCTCCTTACGTGTACATAATTTTGCATGTATGGGGTCCCGTCACACATGTGGCTTTTAAGTATAGAAACTTATTTTTAAGTGTTTCTCTTCCCTATCCAGTAAATGGAATGTGAGGCATTCCTTACCCATATTGTTAAGTTGATAGATTACGAACTCCTGGAGGGAACCCAGGATGGCGGTAAACGTGGCAAAGGCCTCGGGGATGATCACCCCACCCTGTATGGAACATGAATAGGCGACACTGGAATAACACCTTTGGGAGACACCCAGCTGCTCCTGCGTGAGAGTGCGTGGACTGGAGAGAACCTGTGAATGTGTTCAGTGACTGATCAGTCTGATGAATCCTTGAAATCAGGAGTGTCTGCCTGTTGTACGTAAGCAAACCCTTAGCAGAATCCAGTGTGATCAGTGAGAGCGGCTTTCAGCAGGAGCTGTACTGACTGGATCAGCAGTGATGTCCCGGGGAGAGGCCCCCACGATGGTCCACACCCCAGCAGACACAGAATTCACGGAGGTTGCTGTTTGGATGTATCCCCGCCTGCCGGGTGCTGAGGACTCGTTTCAGAAGAGGCACTTGGAGGAGGATGTTGCTTGTGAACGAACAGTGACATTATCGTTCTTCACCATTTGTACACCGCAGCCGTCTATAGATGCAAGCGGCGGACCTATTCTAATTAAATTCAAGCTGTTGTGGCAGTTAACTGGTGAAGGAAAGACTGAGCACTAGGAACGGGCCGCGGGCTGCTGTAGGAATGTGAGGCACGGCTTTAGTCGTTGAACCAGAATGACTGAGCTGGTATGTTTACCTTTTATTGTTCACTTAGGACACTTGCGATGTGTTCGATCCTGAACCATAATTATAAAGGTTTTGTGGCCATATTGAAATGTTACAGTGGGGCAGGCAACAACAGAAAATGGCATAAAGTAGAAGATTTGCCGTGTGAAGGTGTGTTTACATGTGGATGTTGTTCATGGAGAAATAAATGTGGTTTTCTTAGGGAACTGCAATGGCGTATGATTTTTCTTCTCTCTGTTACAAGTCACACATGGTTGCTGTAATAATTTCAAAAAGAAGACAAGGGCCCAGGACATAATAAGTTCCTTCTTAGGAACTTGGATTATGAGGGGGTGTCACTGTGGAGGAGAGGGTGGGCCTCAGAGAAGGAGGAGTAGGAGGCCACAGAGGTGAGGGATGACTGGGGACATCCTTCCCGTAGCAGGTGGCCAGGTGAGAGCCACTTCAGCTGTCTGGCATCACATCGGAGACGGGGGTTTTGACTTGCTCCTGTGGAGCCAGAGTCACAGTGAAGGCCACTGAGGTCTTAAGGCTACGGTAGCCCTGGCCGGTTTGGCTCAGTGGAGAGCACGTCAGCCTGTGGACTGAGGGTCCCAGGTTCGATTCTGGGCAGGGCACATGCTCGGCTATGGGTTCAATCCCCAGGGTGGAGTGTGCAGGAGGCAGCCAGTGATTCTCATCATGGATGTTTCTCTCTTTCTCCCTTCCTCTGTGAAATCAATAAAAAAAATGTTTTAAAAAATATAAGCCTGGGATAGATTTGTGTGGTCACAAGCTGCAAAGTTTGTGGTCATTTGTTCCTGCAACAATAGAAAACTTATAGCCTTGAAGGACATTCCTCCCCTGCCCTTTCCCTCTCCCTCTGTCCACCTTGCCCTCGCTGGCCTGCTCCCACCGACACTCCCGTTCACATCTCGCTTTTCATACAAACTAGGAATGCTCTCCCCTTGCAGAGCCCGTGCTCTGGAGACACTTGAACAGTGATGGCGAACCTTCTGAGCTCGGCGTGTCAGCATTTTGAGAAACCCTAACTTAACTCTGGTGCCGTGTCACATAGAGAAATTTTTTGATATTTGCAACCATAGTAAAACAAAGACTTATATTTTTGATATTTATTTTATATATTTAAATGCCATTTAACAAAGAAAAATCAACCAAAAAAATGAGTTCGCGTGTCACCTCTGACACGCGTGTCAGAGGTTCGCCATCACTGCACTAGAACTAAAACACCAGGCTCACAGCTGGAGCTGCGAAAGGCTGATGGACTGCGAGGGGCCCAGCGCCTTGTCCCACAAGCCCTTCCCGACTCAAGGCCAGTCGGGCTAGTTGGTGTTTTTGTTTTTATTTTTTTTTAATTTTTTGTTTTGTTTATTTTTAAATTTATTTTTATTGATTTCAGAAAGAACGGAAGGGAGAGAGAGAGGAAGAGAAACATCAATGATGAGAGAGAACCACCAATCCGCTGCCTCGACCCATGAACCAAGAGTTCATGATTTGATTCCCAGTCATGGCACATGCCCAGGTTGCAGGTTTGATCCCCAGTAGGGGATGTGAGGAGGCGGCCGATCGGTGATTCTCTCTCATCACTGATATTTCTATCTCGCTCCCTCGCCCTTCCTCACTCTGAAATCAACAAAAACATATTTTTTTTTAAAAAAAGAAATTATATCCAGCATCTCACCTGTCACCCGCAATCAGTCATGTCTCAGAAAATGTTTTCCAATTCAATCAACAAAAATTTTATCAGCATCCCCGATGTCAGCCAGGCCAGTCCCCAGGATAGTCTAACTGGGAGCATAACTGTCCAGCCTCATGGGGCTGTCCGGCTAGAGAGCAAGATGGGCATTTACCAAACAATCGCGAAAACATCCACGTGAAATGTAGTTGGGAAAAGGACCAAAGTAACAGAACCAAGAGCTATGAGAGGAGGAGAGATTGGCCATGGGGTAGGGAGGGAAGACTGCCCCGCACAGGGATTGGTGTGTGCTGATGGGGGGGATGCAGGGGCTTTGGGAGGGAGAGAGGTGATGGGAGTGGGCAGGATGGGGTAGGTAGAACCTTGTAAACCTCAGGTTCTGTTAGGTCAGTGGTTCTCAACCTTGGCTGCACATTAGAATCACCTGGAAATCTTTTTAAAATCCTGATTTCCGGGCCTCATTCCGGAGGTGAACACTCAGCATGGAGACACAAGAAGCAAGTGACCACGGGGAAAACGGCGAAAGAAGGCAGCCAGATGAAGAAAAAATGGCCGAGGCGGGAGGAGGGCAGCTTGAGATGGGTGATGGACCAAGAGAGAATGGGATTTACGGAGGAGAGACCCCCCCCCTCCACCATGTCAAATACCAGGAATGGGCCATAAGGCCAGAGGTGGGATCCCTTCAACGGGCAACTCTCAGCGAAGTGACCTCACTGCAGGAGACGGGGTGTGGGGTGCAAGACTTCCTTTCCCAAATTAAAAACCCACATTTACAAGGGCAAGCGTTCATACCCCAGGTGACAAACGGCTTGAGAGTATGTTGTGGGAAACGGCTTATTGTCTTCACTAGCTGATAAGCGTCGACAGAGAACCGCCCGAAGGCTGGGTGCCTTTGAAGCCCTAGCAAAGGTTGGAGCTGGGCGCCACCTCTGTTTGTCCAGATGGTGGTAGCTGAAGCAACTTCCCCATTTATTATTATGTAAATCCTTGCTGATGGGCTAGTCTGCCTGTTGCCGGGGGTGTCTCGCCTGCCTAAGGGCTATGCTATGGGTGCATCCCAGATCAATAAAAGCTTGGTGAGGCCTGAGCACCGCTGGAAGTCCTTCCCCTTGAGTTGGACTTGCCTGCCTGGTCCCCCAATATTTCCAAATTATCTCTTGTCTCTTCTCGTTCATTTGTGTGCGGCTCCTCTTCCAGATCCTGAACCCTGAACCACGCGGGACGTGGAGGGAAACAGTTACCACAGGATGTGTACTAAGTGCCAGTGAAAGGGTGAGGACTACGCCCTCCATCTGACCCTGGGTTCTCCATTTTTGGGCAGAGCCATGTGCTCAGCAAGGCTTCTTCCCGGAAGCCCCAAGCCTCTGCTAGCCACACCCAGGATTTCCCTGGACTAACCAATGATAATCAAGGGAAGTGCACGCCATCAATATGACCACATCCTGTGTAATGAGACACCGACTTGCGCCTGGCCAGTCGGCGGGGCCCACAGTCCCCTCTCCTGCCCTTACTCCACCCCCCTATAAAACTCTTCCCATCGGGGCTAGCTCTCTCTCTGCCACTGGGCTTACCGTTGCATTGGTGAGTGTGGTCGGGGAGCCGAACTAGTTCGAAATAAAGGACTCTTTGCTTTTGCATCGGACACAGCTGGCTCCCTCGCGTGGTCTGTTGGGGATCCTGAAATCTGGGCATAACACCAGGAGGAGAAAATAGGAAATACATCAGTACGTATGGACGTCTAGGTGTGGAGGGCGGCTACAGCGTTGGGACGGGTTCAAGCCTCGGACTAATGAGAGGGCACAGTCCTCTCATGGCAAAGCCACATGCACGTCCCAGCTTAGAGGGCAGAGCCCTCCCAGCACAATTATAGCCAGAGGCTATCATTGTAAGCTTGAACCTGTGGTCGGAACACGTGGTCCCACGTGTCTGAGTGCTGTGGGCTTGATAGAGTTCAGGTGCATGTAATTGAGTAGATTGGTATTAACATCTTGACCTTACCCTTACTTTTTACCTCGTGGAATCTGCCTATAAAATAAAGGCTTGGCTTGTGGCCACGGTTACTGTCTCTCCATCAGAGAAGCCGCGCCCCACCGAGACCCAGCTTTCATTCTCTTGTCTGTCTTTTCTGATTCCTTCACGGCTCCCCCTCAGGGTTCACCCTTGACCATGCTGATGGGGCACATTGAGGCTGAGCGTGACCAAAGGAACTTAACTGGATCAGTGGCTATTTCTGGTAGAAAAAAAGAGGAAACAAGATTTTTTGGTCTTTTTAAAAATATATATATTTAAAAAATAC